ATCGAGATATTAATAAGGAACCAGCAGATCAAGTAGCTTTTGGAATAAAACACCAATTTTTTTAAAATTAAACACTATCTAAAGATTTGCATCGAAGCGTTTATTTTTGATAGTGATTTTAATCACTGTCAGATATCATTTACTTGATCCAACTATGCCACGTCACCACTGTGCCGCGACCCCCCTGTGCTGGGTTTTTAGCTTTTATAATACTTGATGTTATATTCTCCTCCGACTCCGACATTTTGTATTACTAACCAAGTGACTAAAAATCAGCTCTTTTTCTATAAATATCAAAACCTTTGCGATATCTCCCCTCGTTTAAAGGGAAATCTTTCACTATCAACAAAAATTCAAATCTTCCAGAGTTCCAGCATTTACCACACATTTCTTTAAATTCTATAAAACTCATATCTGACGAACAATGATCATCGTATAATATACATATTATGTGTTTTAAATTAGTTTCATCTTGTTTGTATAAAATAATCATATTCGTGCTGTCTCTGATGAGTTGTTTTGGGATACAAGAATACGTCTGCGATAAATAAAATATATCGATACTGTTGTGTCGACCTGTACAAAAATATGATTCTATGTTTTTTTGTTTTTCACATACGACATCGTCAAATATAAATATAGAATTAAAAGTTGCTGTTTCCGGTGGTATTACTTGATCGTTATCGGTGTAAACGTTTATATTTACCCTTTCTACGTCATTGATAATATTCTCTAAAATTTTATACTTGCGTTGATCCGGAGTTTTTGTATAGAGGTATATGTTTTCAAATTTTAAGCTGTTTTCTTCCGTCAGTAAATTAAACATTACGTTTGTTTTACTACAATTGGATGGTCCGCAAATTATACAACGTAGATTATCGGGTAGCAAGGGTCCATGTTTCTATCGTTTCGATTCAGATTTATTCAAATCGATGTTGGGAACAGGTAACTTACTTTTGTACTTCGAAAAACATAACGTATAAAAGATTGATACAAAACATCCACTGTTTTAAACGATGATTCGACATCGATGATCAAATAATAATAAACGTGGTTACGGTTTAGTTAATTCTCTTATAAATAATCTCCCTGTAGAAGTTCATGGGCCAACATATCAATACCTAGGACCCGGTACGCGATTAGAAAAACGATTGGCTCGTGGCGATCCCGGAAAAAATCCGTTGGATTCAGCAGCTCGTGATCACGATATAGCATACAGCAAATATAAGGATATTAAAAATTGACATAAAGCCGATTACATTTTACAAAACCGAGCTTGGGAATNAGCCGATTACATTTTACAAAACCGAGCTTGGGAACGTGTTAAGGCAAAAGACAGTACGTTCGGAGAAAAAGTAGCGGCATACGCAACTACCAATATAATGAAAGCGAAACGTAAACTCGGAATGGGAATAAATTTCAACTCGATTATCAATTCAAGTCGAAATGTGATGCGTAAAATGAAGGGTAAAAGTGCAAAGAAAGCGAGTATCATTGCACTCGCAGCGGCAAAAAAAACATTCAAAGACTCGACTCAAAAACCTACTACTCCTGGCACTATAAAAATACCAAAATTTGGTGAATAACCCTTGATTCCTATTTTCGTTGGTCTTTCTGCTCTCGGATCGTTAGCCGGTAGTGCTACAAATATAATCGAAGCGGTGAATGATGTAAGAAAAAATAAAAATGTAAAAAGCTCAGTTAAAATCGGTGGGGGTATGCTTTCAAAAAGAGGATCAGCTTTATATTTGAAACCATTTCAAAAATACTAATTCATATGCTACCCAGTGATCGTCCACTAAACAGCGATGATATTAAATATGCGAGATTATTCAAACTGTTTCATTTTCGTAATGTCTTTTCACGAGATAAATTACCTAAAACACCAAGAAAGTTTGAATGTGCCGTAGTAAATTTGGATGATGATACGGGTAAAGGCACGCACTAGGTAGCATATTATAAAAAAAAT